CTCCTCAATTTGCTGTTTAGCCTCCTCGTACTCAGCTGGACTGAGGCGATACATAGGTCTAAAAGGTGGGAGTTTTCCAGGCTCCACTGGAATGGTGTGACCGACAGCACGGTCCGGAGGAAGGCCATCTGGGATGGGCTCAAAAACCTCTGCAAACTCGTCCGCCAGTGGTTTCATCTGAGGCGGGAAATCCTCGACCCCAGGCATCTCGTATTGAGCATTCTCAAGCTGTACCACAAAGAAGGTATCGGCTTGTCGAACATGCTGTGCGAACTCGTTTGCGAGCGCAAAACTCACATCGGAACGCTTCGACGTTTGCTGTTCGTTCGTGATCAAGTCCTTAGGCACTTGCCATTGGACTGTGTCACCATTCTTTACGAATGAGACGGTATTGTCCTGGAAATCGAGCCTGACTTCATTCGCTCGAAGCCAATCCATTCCAAGGACAAGGTCGACACCTGCGAGAAGGGGTAAAACATACGCGCGGATCTTTTCGTGATAACCCTCGATCTCCATGTTGATCCGTGTCTGCCCTTTGCTTGGGATGATGCTATCGTCACCAAGACGAATGGGGCAAGACAGTCCTTCAACTAGGATCGTGCGTGCTGTGACCCACTTTTCGTCAAAGAGGGAAACAGTTGCACCCGTGTCAACAAGGATTTTTGCATTATCCCCGTTCACGCTACCCGCAAGCAACAAATTTTGTTGATGCTTTGGGCGAATAGGACATGCCACAATACTCGTCAAAGGTTTGAAGTACACCTTGACGTTGTGACGAGCGCGTCCATGTGACTGAGATTTGGTCCACCACACATGGTGTCCTTTGTCCCACGCCGCTAGGACCGGCCATCCACGAAGCACATGGAACAATTCGCCTTTCACTGTGCGAGTCACCAACGCAACCGAAGTCAGGGGGTGCTCTTGAGTGCAACGACTCACAATCTCAATGACAGAACGCAGAATGTCCAAGCCACAGAAAATAATTGAAAATTTATCTTGCATTGCTTCCATGGAAATTTTCTCAAGTGGGTACGATCGAGGATAAAAAACAGAGTTTTTATTAAAAGAAGAGGCAAACAAACAAGAGATTTTGCAATCAGCAAGCTTCTCTAGCTTTAATATATCATCATCACATAGCACATATGCTTCATCCACTCGATCTACTCCTCCAAATTGGTACCCACACCCTAGTTGGGCTTCTGAAAATCCTTCTTTCCAGAAGGTCCAGCTCCGCCTGGCTTAGGCTTCCCAGAATACTTGATAACATTCTTATCACGGAAGTGCTTTTGGATGTGCCCCATCCTTCCACAGCCTCTGCACTGCTTGTCGGAGAAGTCCGGCTTGTTAGGTCCATGAACCCCCCTCCGTTAGGCCTCTTGGCCTGTGGGCCAGGCTGGTGATCACGCTGCTGGAAAGACCTTTTGTTCCAACCGCTTCCACCTTTCGCATTCTGGGGCCGGTTCCCATGACCACCAGAGCCCTCAGCACAGGGCTGCAGGCCTGTCTTTTCGGGGCAAAAAATGTACGTGCGAATGATGTTGTCGGTTTTGATCACCTGCTCCTTCATCTCCTTGTAAGTCGTCCAATTGGTCATGCCGCCGGTCATGTGTGCCTCCTGCAGGTTGACAGGGAGGCCCTTCATGAAGATGTGCATCATCTCCTCCTCAGCCAAGGGCTTTTGGAGCAAGCGTGCTGCGGCCTCAAACTCGACCGCATATTCCTGCACCGAACGGTCATGACACTTGATACGCTCAAGGCGTCCGCGCAGTTCTTGGTCGGACTTTTTGACCATGAATGCCTCTTTCAGCGCGGTGCAGAACTCCGGCCATTCAAACGGTCCCTGTGCCTGCTTCTTAGCACCATACACGGCCCTGCGGGCCACCTCGTCCAACGCACGAGTAGCTGCAGTGACGCGAGCCTCGGGGCGCACATTTGCAAAGATCATGGTGGAATCCACCTGGTCGAGCCAAGGCTGCACCTCCGTCTTGTTATGGTTAAATTCAGGCAGAGGCGCCGAGAGACACCCTAAGGGCGAGGTCTCAGTTGGAGGTGGCTGATGCATAGCCGTCGCAGCACCTACCGCCGGGGGTGCGGGCGGAGCGGGTGCCGGCTGAGCAGCAGGAGCGGACCTAAGCCCAGGAGGAGGTTCGTAAATACCCTCCCTCCTAAGATGTGTCAACTGCTCATTGAACTTGTTGAACGATGCTTGCAGATTCTTGCAAGTCTTCTGAAGCCACTCAATTTGGCGTTTTTTAGTGCCCAGGCTGCGACGGAAGTCTGTAACCTCCTTCATGGTAATGCTCAGTCTAGCCTCGAGGTTCTGAGTGTGCTTCTTGAGTCCATCAATGGACGTCTGCTGCTGCAGGATGGTGATATTCTGAGTTGCCACCTTAGCCTGGAGTTGGACAATCTCCTCGGAGATAGGATAAGTCGTGCCTTCACTCTCAGTGAAGTCATTTTTATCACCAGTGGCCTCCTTTCCACCGTTGTTATCCTCTTCCCCAAGGTTGTCAGCTCCACCATGGTTCTCAACTTCACCATGGTGCTCAGCTTCATCATGGTTCTCAGCTTCACCATGGTTATGCTCATCTCCAAGGTCCAGGTCCAAGTCCTCAATATCATCTAACTCAATGTCAGCCATTGCCTCATCTTGATTGAGGTCAATCTCAGCAGCATTGTTCACCACCTCATTAGGTGCAGCGGGCCCTTCCTCCCTTGCCATATCCTTCTCTTGGCCAGATGCCATAAAGATTAAAGGAGCTTGTAAGATCTGGGTTGATTCTGTTAAAGTCTTTTTACCACCTCAATGGTAAAGCAAGAAATTCTTATAAAAAAAATTTCTTCTACAAAATAATCCAAGTTACCCAAGGTAACAGATTTGTTGTCAAGCACTCCCAATCTCCTAAATGAAAGGGTAGGGTCTATCCAAATCTCAATGAAGAGAAGTTGTATAACCCTCAACAAATCCTCCAGATCCAAGTTTATACTCCACTACTCAACAGTAGAGAGTCTTCCACCAAAAGGTGGGCAAGAGAGATAAATCTCTCTTTTTAGCTTGAAATTGCAGTTGTAGATCTTGTAGATCTTGAACTCTTCAAGCTTCCAGATCTTGAGTGTTCTCTTAAATAGAAACCACAACTCCAAGATCTTAAAAAAAAAAAAAATTCTCTAGGGGCAAAATCCCCACTAGGCTTAGGATAACCCTAGCTCTAGATACCAATGTAACAATCACGGCCTTTATAACAACGGGCAACCGTGTGTTAAATATAAATCACCATTGACAACATTTATAAAATCAAGATACAAGGCTTTCAAGATTAACTAATCCCACGAAGGGGTAATTTAGCCTTGATAGTACTCCTCAAGCTTGAGATGAGAAAGGGAGCTTGAAGAAGATTGATGAAGCTTTAATAAGTAGGTAGGAGCTTCTTGTAGAGCTTGTCCTTGAAAAATCACAAGTCTAGTTGTGTAGGGGAGCTTATTAGGAGAACCCAAAAGACTTAGAGTGAAAATCCCATTTCCAAGTTAGATTGTTGGAGTTGGGAAGTGGGAATGAGCTCGAGAGCTCCAACCCCTTCCATCATACCCCTTGAGGCTTTTCCCAACCATGGTTTCCATGGTTGGGGAGCTAATAGGCTTGGAGCTTAGGTGGCAATTTAGTTTAGTTTGGTTGGGAAAAACCCAACTTAGCACAATTGTATGGCTGTTTTAAGTTTGTGTGGATTGTAACAACAACTGACACAACTTGATTGGTTGGAAATCCAACCTTTCCAATCTTCACTTTGATGGGTTGGAAGTTTCCAATCTTCACTTTGATGGGTTGGAAGTTTCCAAGCCTCAAGGTTGAGGGTTGGGAAAACCAAACCAATGTTCTTCTCCAACTCAACCTTCCCGATTGCCTTCACGTCATTTCTCATCGAGGAAGTCTCTCGATGTTGACTTAGGAAGTTAGCGGTAGATGAGGCAGAGTAGGTTATGCGTTACACTCCTCCCCCCCTAGGTGGCAACGTCCCCGTTGCCTCAGGGTGCTTCTGAGGACGAGCGCTTCGAGTACGCCGTGTCACATTACGACCAAGGTCAACGCCCTCCACTGGTTGTGCGGCAGCTCGTCGAGCCAGGTCTGTCATGTATGACTGAACTGCAGTTTCAGTCAGATGCTCTTCTGGCTCACATGAGTTGTGTTCAGGCCCATAGCCTTTCCACTTGATGAGGAACTCTCGTACTGTCTTGCGGCCGCGTTGTCGATCACGATGCATTAGCACTCGTTCGACTTCATAAAACAGTTCCTCCCCCAGGACGATCGTTGGTGGCGGTAAGTACTTGCCCTTTGCAACGTGATATTCTCTCTAGCCTAAGCATGTTTTTCGGCATAGCTTCACGCACCTACCCTCGCCATGGCCGCTCAAAATGCTACTGGGCCGAACCTTAAGTGTCTCCACCCTCTCCGCCCCTTTACCTACACCTCCCAGCGTGTACTAACAACCCCCCTTTCCCCCGTCCGCCCCCCTTCCCCCCCTCCCCCCCTTCCCCCCCTTCCCCCCTCCCCCCTCCCATTTTCTGCACTGGGTCTCCCACACTCGCTGCTTGGCCGTCCCTCAAGAGATCTCCCCCACTCCGCCTTTGCGTTGACCTTCGCCTCGCTCTTCCCCATCCCCTTCCCATCCCCGTCCCCAACCCCCCCCCCTCTCCTAGTTTCTGAGCTGGGTCTCCCAGACGCTCCTGGGCCATCCCTCCAAGCGCTTCACGCACTCTTCCTCCGCCTTTGCATGAACTCCCAGTGTGTATGTACCAACAAACCCCCCATACCCACCCACTCCCCCTTCCTCCCCCCCCCCCCCCCTCGCTTGCTGAACTGGGTCTTGCACACACTACTGGGCTGCCCTTTAAGGGGCTCCACACACTCGCCCTGGCATGAGCTCTCAGTGCGCACACAAAGAACCCAACCTTCCCCTCCTTCCCTCCCTCCTTCCCCCCTCTCCCCAGCTTCTCAACTGGGTGTCTCACACGCTGCTGGGCCGCCCCTCCAGGGTCTCCACGCACTCTGCCTTCGCCTTTGCTTGTTCTTCTCTCAGCGTGTACCAGCAAAACCCCCCACACCCCCTCCACTCCCCCTCCCCCCAGCTTCTGAACTGGGTGTCCCACACGCTGCTGGGGCGCCCCTCAAGGGGCTCTACGCACTCTGCCTTCGCCATCTCCCGCATGGCCTCCCAGACCGCCCCAGGCCTCGCCCCCTCTGACTCCCGAGCCAGCGCCGTAGGCTCGGGAGCAGGGGGCAGGCCCACGTTTGCCCGGTCCGACACGTTTTTCCTGCGGGAGATGCGGACGTCTGAGCTGCTGGGGAGGGCCGTGGTGGCGCCTGATAATGGGTGAGTGATGAGGAGTGATGAGGGTTGGTGAGCGGTGAGGATGGGTGAGTGCCGACGACATTGGGTGTGTGAACGGAGATGCGGCCGCAGTACCTTGCTATCCTCGGAGATGGGTGCCTTCCTATCGTCCCTCTTCCTGCGGGCGATGCGGACAACAGAGCTGCTTGGGGGGGGCGTGGTGGCGTTTGATAACGGGTGAGTGATGAGGGGTGATGATGGGTGAGTGAGGGGTGATGATGGGTGAGTGAGGGGTGATGAGGGTGAGTGAGGGGTGATGATGTGAGGGTGATGATGGGTGAGTGAGGGGTGATGGGTGCTGCGTCTCACCCTTCACAGCTCGCCCCATCTCACCCTTCACAGCTCGCCCCATCTCACCCTTCACAGCTCGCCCCATCTCACCCTTCACAGCTCGCCCCATCTCACCCTTCACAGCTCGCCCCATCTCACCCTTCACAGCTCGCCCCATCTCACCCGTCTCTCGCATCTTGAGCCGTTTCAATCCCTCAATCCGTTCCTCCCTCTCGTTCTCTCTCCCCCCTCCTTACGCTCAAATTCTCCTCCATATTTCTGCCCTTCTCTTTCTCTCCCCCCCTCCCCCCTCCCTCCTCTCAGCTACCTGCTGCTGTGGCAGCAGCTCATCCTAGCTCTCTCCTTCTACTCCGCGTTCATCACGCCGCTCGAATTCTCCCAACTTTGAGGTGTTTCAATGCCTCAATCCGTTCTTCCCTCTCGTTCTCTTCCCCCCTTCCCCTCCCCGCACAACTCCCAGCTACCTGTTGTTGTGGCAGCAGCTCATCCTGGCTCTCTCCTTCTACTCCGCGTTCATCACGCCGCTCGAGTTCTCCTTCCTGCCCATGCTGCCGCCCGGCCTCGCCATAGCGGACGGTGTCGTCAGCATCTTCTTCCTGTCCGACCTCATTCTCACATTCTTCGTGGCATACAAAGACCAGAAGACGCAGAGATACGTCTGTGACCACTGGAGCATTGCCACTAGGTGAGGTGCGGTTGAGTGCGGTGAGGTGTGGTGAGGTGAGGTGACGTCTCTTCTTCCTTGCTGACCTGCTGCTCACCTTCTTCGTTGCCTTCAAGGACCGCAAGACCCAGAGCTATATTTGTTATGTTAGCCCTCAATCTCACATTTGTACTTGTAATTTTTATATCACAGTTTAGTGTAGTTTGCACTTTGTGTTTGGTTGGGTGTACACCCACATCCCAACCAAACCCAAATGTGATCTCCAAGCAATCTCCAACCCACCAATTGGAGATTGCCTTGAGATTACCCCCAATTCCCTAGGATTGCCCCCGATTCTCTCCCCACCCTTACCTTGCCCATTTCCAATGTACTTAAAGAGCCTTGAGCTCATTACTAATGCATGAATTCTAAGCTCAAGTTCTAACAATATTTGCTGGAGAATTGAGACTAGGTAAGGTGTGGTTGAGTGCGGTGATTGGGCGAGCATGCTGTGAGGTTGAGGTGAGGTGAAGTGCGAGCATCTTACGCGCGGAGGGTGGGGCAGTGCGTGCAGTGCGGTGCAGTGGGTAAATGTTGGATCGAAGAACCTTTTTGAGTGCAGCGAGGTGAGGCGATGTGAACTCTCTCTTCCTCGACAACCTGTTGGTCACCTTTGTAATTCGCCTTCAAGGACAGGTAGATTCACAGCCATGTCTGCAACCACTGGAGCTCTGTCACCAGGTGACGTGCGCTGGAGGGTGGCGAAGTGCAATGCAGTGCGGTGCATAAACATTGGATTAAAGAGACGTTTTGTTTTAGAAACTCAAGTACTGTTGTAGAGATGTGTAACTAGTCAGGGTCATGGTGTGGTGGTGAGGCAATGTGTGGTGAAGTCAGATGGATCATGGTTGTGCTTCATGCCGTATGCACAATTTGGCATCTCCCCTGAATGAAATCACCACCAGCTCTAGTGCACCCTGTGTGCCGCCTCGCTTTTGTGTGTCGCCACTCCCTCCCTCCCTGTCCCCATTGTTCTCTCAGGTATTTTTGCTTGTTCTTTGGCTTGCTTTCTTTGCTTCATTACCATTAACCCAACCACCCCCCTACCCGCCCCCTGCTCAACTCACTCCCCCCCAACACCCCCCATCGGGCCACCGCATCGCATCGCGTGCTGGCAGGTACCTGTGCACGTTTTTTATAGTGGACCTGCTCGCACTCTTCCCCTGGGACACCTTCTTCCAGGTACCAGGGGAAAACATTTCTTCCGGTGTTGAATTAAGAATGCGAGCCCAGGCACGGGTGGGATAAAAGAATTCCAACCAAGCAACACAAGGTGAATGTCCGAATCCATGGACGTAGCGTTGCCCCTCTTGGAAACGTCATTGTTATCATGTAACGTCATTGTTATCCTGTAACGTCATTGTTATCATGTAACGTCGGTGCTATCATGTCACGTCATTGTTATCATGTAACGTCATTGTTATCATGTAACGTCATTTGTTATCATGTACGTCATTGTTATCATGTAACGTCATTGTTATGATGTGTAACGTCATTGTTATCATGTAACGTCGTTGTTATCATGTAACGTTGTTGTTATCATGTAACGTCATTGTTATCCAGTAACGTTATTGTTATCCAGTAACGTCATTGTTATCCAGTACCGTCATTGTTATCCAGGAACGCCATTGTTATGAATGTAACGTCATTGTTATCATGTAACGTCATTGTCATCATGTAACGTCACTGTTATCATGTAACGTCATTGTTATGATGTAACGTCATTGTTATGATGTAACGTCATTGTTATCATGTAACGTCGTTGTTATCATGTAACGTTGTTGTTTATCATGTAACGTCATTGTTATCATGTAACGTCATTGTTATCATGTAACGTCATTGTTATCCAGTACCGTCATTGTTATCCAGGAACGCCATTGTTATGATGTAACGTCCATTGTTATCATGTAACGTCATTGTCATCATGTAACGTCACTGTTATCATGTAACGTCATTGTTATGATGTAACGTCATTGTTATGATGTAAACGTCATTGTTATCATGTAACGTCGTTGTTATCATGTAACGTTGTTGTTATCATGTAACGTCATTGTTATCATGTAACGTCATTGTTATCATGTAGCGTCATTGTTATCATGTAACTCGCAGTGACTGCTATCCCATTTCTGTTTGAGTCGCTTGAAAGGATATATGTCTGTGTCTCTCTCTGGGTGGAGAAGACGCACGCGTCCTGCTGCGTCCTGCGTCTGGACACATCGTCCAGACGCAGAGACGCAGGACGCACCCTGTTTTTTTTTCGGGCTGACCGGAAAAAAAACTTGCCCAGCGTGAAATTGACTTAGAGGGTTTGACGCGACTGTCAATTTCGCGTCGTGTCGACCCCCCCTAACCCATTTCGACCATCATAAACACCCTAGAGGATTTACCAAGACAATTCTACTTCGTAAACCCTAAACCCTGAAAATAAGAAGGGGACGATTTTGCCTCAAATGTGTGCATCGTCGTCCCCCCCCCCCTTCCCATACCCTATAACATCATTTTTCGGCTGCCCGGGGGTTTTTTTTGCCCTACACGGGCATGCGTCTTTTCATGCGTCCTAAAGGCCCTCTTCTTGCGTCCTGCGTCTAAGACGCTGCGTCTGGACGCAAGCGTCCTAGACGCAGGACGCGTTCTTTCTCCACCCAGGTCTCTCTCTCTCTGTAGATATATGTATAAATAAATAGTAAAGATTTGTGAAAGCACAA